AGGTACAATCCAGAACAAGCAGTGTCGTAGCATGGCAGGGGCGGGTCACAAGGACAGTTGTCCTGGGCGCAAAATTGTTAGGGGTGCAAAATTTCAACACCCAGTGCTGCCTCAATACAGCTGCATGCTTCCATCGCTGGGCTCTGTAGAAAACAACTTCTCCATGCGAACCAGGAAGTGACCTCTCCAGATAACAAAGTGACTCTTATTTTCTTATCTCTGTGGCTGCGATCTCCTGGGTGACATGGATGCCATTAGGCAATTGAATGTTCCTGCGTGCTCCGTCCATTTTCCTCCCTCCCATCCATCCCCTCCGCATAGCCCCGGGCACTGGCAACCCATGCTACACCACTGATAAAAAGGATGAGTGTCCATCAAAGACACCTTTGCACACTGGAGGAGGAAGAGGAGTGCTTGGGGAGCACACTGCCCCCAGCAGCACAATCCCAGTGGGGTGTCATCGCACAGGCGGCATGCCACACCCCCAGGACGTGCGTCACACCCCTGTGGGTGGTGTGCCACACCCCTGGGACGCACGCCAGCCCTGCCCCCGCCTGCTCTCCTCCCCCCCGGTGCCGGAGCATGAAGCTCCGCCACTGCCTTTGCAGAGGTAGCCACAGGAAGCAGAAGATACATACTCATACATCCTGGTTTGTTTTTTTTTAAATGATATTTATTAAAGTTTCAAAAAATACAGAATACAAAAAGAAGAAGAGTAAAGTTTTTTTAAAAATATAACAAAAAATAAAATAAAATAAAATAAAAGTATAAAAAGAAACATACCAAATAGACAGTTAAAAAGACATTAATTTTCCATAACCTATCTTCCCTATACTTGTTTCCCCGGACCTCCTCATACCTTCCTTTTTTGTATTCCAGTTCAATTTGTTAGTTCAGCAAATCCTTACCATTAAAATTACCCAGTTGCAAACCTTTTTTCATATCTCTTAAAGTATTACAGCTAAAAACCTCTTAGTTTCTATCCAACATTCTTCTAAAATTCCTTAATTTTACAATATTTCTGTAAATAGTCTTTAAATTTCTTCCAGTCTTCTTTCACCGACTCTTCTCTCTGGTCTCAGATTCTGCCAGTCATTTCCGCCAGTTCCATGTAGTCAATCACCTTCATCTGCCATTCCTCCAGTGTGGGTAGCTCTTGTGTCTTCCAATGTTAGGATATCTGAACCTAAGGGGTCCGGATCCAGTCACCTGCCCCTGCTGTTAGCATGAAGGAGTCAAACATACACCAGGGTGGGTTCCACAGAGAAAAAGGTTTATTGCAAAATCTGCGCAGAGTTAGCCAGTGGAATAGCTTCCAAAGACTGGCCGCCCCCTATTGTCTTCCAAGCATTCTTATACTGAAGCTGCAAGCTTGGCCCCCAGTTGCTCCCCAATCAACAGGCAGAGATACACTTTATTACCTTATTGGGCTAGCTAAGCCCTCCTCCCCCACCTTTGCATATTGTTTGCTTCGCTTTATAAATGTTTGCATTTTGCACAGCTGAGGTGAGAAGCTAGCTCACCACAACTGAAGCAGACAGGAAAACCACTACCGGCCTGCCGAGCTGAGCTTCTTTTGCTTCAGCTAAGTAGGAGGCCAGGCAGGAAACCCACTGCCTGCCCGCAGAGCTATCTTGCATAGCTAAGACAATTGTTTAGCTGGAGCTAGCTAAAGCACGATGGAGTTTTTACCTTCCCCCACCTCTTCACTCCTCTCCCTTCACCAATACTTTGCGATGAGTATTCTTGCTGCTGTTGTAGCATACATAAAAAAAGTTCTATCCTTCTTTAACACCAATTGGCCGACCATGCCCAGGAGAAAGGCCTCTGGTTTCTTAAGGAAGGTATATTTAAATACCTTTTTCATTTCATTATAAATCATCTCCCAGAATGCCTTAATCCTTGGGCACGTCATACTCATGTTACATACTCATACATTCTGTGCTGTCTTCAGGGGTGTTCAGAGTGTGGGATGTAAAAACGTACTGCAGTCAAATACAACATTCCTACAATGCACGTGCTGGGGAATGCTTTGTATCACTCAGGAGAAAACTTGCTAGTTCCTCCTGAGCTGGGACAGACTTCCTTTGCATGTGGCTTAATGTGGGTGTGGCCTGTTCTTGGACAGAGGAGGACATGGCCTCCATGTTCTGCTCTTCTTGTTCTCCATTTTGTGTTCTCGAGATTTAGGAGAAGTGACTGCTCAGTCGCAGTCACTTGAGACTATTTCTCTTATGGAATAGTTCACATTTATATGTTGTTCTGTAAAGTTGGTTTGCCTTCAGGGATCTTATTGTGAACTGGATGATCGTAAGTAAACTAGATTATTATTATTATTATTATTATTATTATTATTATTATTATTATTACCCTGCTCATCTGGCTGGGCTTCCCCAGCCACTCTGGGCAACTTCCAACAAAATATTAAAATACAGTAATTGATCAAACATTAAAAGCTTCCCTAAACAGGGCTGCCTTCAGATGTCTTCTAAAAGTCTGGTAGTTGTTGTTCTCTTTGACATCTGGTGGGAGGGCGTTCCATTAGTTTGATGTTAACTTTAATCAGATGGTCGTGTCTATTCTTTTAGGAGGGATATAAAAAGGGATCTTACCAGGAATCCTAAATAGTGAGGCTCAGACGAGCCTGCAACTAGCTAACCGCTGTGTAATTTAAAAGGGGGATTATTTGCCAACTCTGCTAAGTTGTAGAACTTGCTGACACAAGTTAGGAAAGATATCATAAAATAATGTATCCTCTCCTGCCTCCCTAAACACCCCCACACAGAGGACCCTCCCCCCACCGAAATAATGCTTGAGGATGTCAAGAGACCATGTAGGCTGTCCCCACTGCTAACGTGCAGAGAAGCCATGCTGTCCAGTACATTTCAACTGCATGCGAAGGTGCCCCTGGGCACATACTGATTGGACCAAGGTGCCCCTTATGTACACTGGTATGTACATAGAGCCTCTTCATATGCCAGCTGAACACACAGACCGTGCACTGAAGAATCCTGGGAGCTCTAGTTTGCTAAAGGTGCCAAGAGTTGTTAGGAGACTCCCTCCAATTCCCAGGAAGAAGGACTTCCGGGTTAGCGCCATCGCCGAATGGCGGACTCCCTCCGAGCTCCGGAGGGAGTCTGCTTGGCAGGGGCTGGGTCCTACCGCGCCGGCGACGCGGGGACCGTGAGCAACCACGGGCACGGAGGCCGTGGACCGGGGTGACTCGGCTTGCACCATTAGCGCCCTCCCGACTCGTGAGGGAGCCTTGTTAAAGGCTACGGATCGGGGGCCGGGGAGTGGCGGGGTGCTTTGAGTCCACTGCTTCCCTGCCGAGCGCAGCCGCATGCCATTCGACGGAGAGCGCTGACCTCTTCTATTGAAAATTTGGACTATTAACAACAACCCGTGAGTAATTGGGAAACCGGGTTCAAAATTTTGATTTGGCACGAGCGGGGCGATTTAAAAGGAAGTCAATCCTCCCTATTGTAAGCATTCCAAAACAAGGACTGGGTAACCAAGGTCCAAAGGGAAGTATGTCTCTGATAAAAATCACTAATTTCACGATGGGAAATTATAAGAAATGTGCTGGAGGAGAAGAGTGGAGGGTGAGAAGAAAATGCAAACCCCCCTGGGAACCGGGGCGATCTAGTGGAGCCTGGTGAAGAGAGACGGAGACTTTGACAGCTGTCAAAGTGGCTGTCAAAGCTGGAGAATATAAAGAGGACTTTATGAGGACCTTGCTGGTAAATTTTGCTACAATTTGCTATAATATGGATATAAACTGTTGGAAAATAAGCAACAATTTGACTTTTGGATTAGAGGATACAAAGTTATTACAATCCCCTAGAGGGGTTTCAGGATACTACAAGAACGGTCGTAAGTGGAAAAATACCCTGGGATTCGCACAGGATTTGTTATCTTCTGGGAAAGCTGCAAAACTGAAAGAGTATTTTGTCTACAGAGGAAGACAATGGAATTTTTTATTGAAGAAAGAAAGGGACTGGACGTAAGTTTTTGTTCCTGAATAACAAACCTCTGCAGAGACACTAGATTTCTGAATTAGAAAGTTTTAGCAGCTGAACAGGACAAGAAACCTGAGAAAGTGAGGAATAAGAAGAATAAAGGACTGATTACGACACGGAAAGAACAACGGGAGGAGTGGTAAAGATCAAGGAAATTAAAGGCCTTTGTTAGATTGGACATTTGAAGACAAATATTATTTAAATTAATAAACTAAAAGAAAACCGGCAAGATGGAATCGGGGAGAAATCTGGTCATGAAATGAGACTTCCAAGCTGATAATGTATAGACTGATGGACATGGGGAATTCAAACCGGGAAGGGGGGCCAGATTTGAAATCCAAAGGCTGTGTAACCATTTTTTGAACTTTTCTATATCTCTTATTTTCTATTTCTTTACATAACTTACGCATGTTATTTTACTTTGATCGGACGTGTTTAAAAAAAGGGAATTTGTGGAAGGAACTGGGGTGGATCTTGGGGAAAATCTTTTTTCTTTTCTGTTAATGATGTGGGACGGTGGTAAGATTTGTACAATTCAATTTGGATAGTGGGTTAAACAAATTAAGCTTTAAATTTGGGAGTGAGAGCTTGTAGAACCAAATTAAGGAAAGGGGAATACAACTGGGGGGGGGAGGGGGGGAGTTCCAGAAAGTAGGGAATGAAAGTAAGGTTTTTAAATATCTTCTTTCTTTTATCTTTTTTCTTTGTACTTTTATATTTTTGGAAACTTTAATAAATATGATTTAAAAAAAAAAAACAATTCCCAGGAAGAAGGATGGATTGTTAAATCACTCTGAGAATTGTAGCTTTGAGCATGGAATGGGGTCTCCTCACAACTTCCAGCACCTTTAACAAGCTAAAATTTCCAAGGATCAAGTGGGGGAACAACATAGGCACATAGGAATCTGCCATTGGCCCATCTGGCTCAATGGCAGCGGTTCTTCAGGATTTCACTCTAGAGTCTCTCCCAAACCTGTCTAGACATACTGGGGATTTCACCTAGGACCTTCTGCTTGCAAGGCAGATGTTCTGCCACTGAGCAATCAACCTTCCCTATGAGTTTAAAGTGGTATGATACTGCTTTAAATGTATAATGCAGATGGGCCTTCATTGAATTCTAACCTTACAACAAGAGAGCTTGTGGCCAGATGTGCTTGGCACGATACTGTTTTAAATATATACTGCATATACGTACAACAAACATGCATAGGATTGGGCTATCCCTCCGTATGACATTGACACAAGGGCTGTCTCCCAATTTGCCATTTCCCTCTTTTAAGACACAGAGAGACGGCGTGTAGAATAAAATATTAGCAGGAAAGCTCATGTCCTCAACATAATTTGGTTAGTCAGTGAAGCAAAGTATCTGTCCCCACTCAGTCATCCACTTTTATTTGGCATCCATCACTTTTATTTAGTATCAGATACTCATCATCTGGAGTGGTAATGATTAACACATTAGAAAAAAGAGAGGGTATTGTTTGGAAGTACTGACATGCTACATAACGTCCTATAATGCGATGCTCTGCTGCACGGCTAAAATCCCACATTTGGGAATATGCACTCCTCTTTTGAAAAAGAGACCACTTCTCTTTGTCATTAGATGCCCCGAGAAAGTAGATTTTGGTGTAACTCTCCTTTGTTTCCATCAAGACTGCGGCTTACAGGAAGCTCCGCATTTCAGCCATTTAATCTCTCAAACAGAAGATGTACGTGAACTTTCCCTGACCCTTCCATTTATTCTCACAGATTAATAAATTAAGGAGTCTGAGACTGAAGTTATTAAGGGGAAGAGAAGAAGATGAATTCACAATCCCTGCAGTTTTAGGACGCAGCTGGACAATCCTCCTTTCTAAAGCCTTTGAGGAAAATTCAACAGCGCGCATGCTTGTCCCTGTAGAACTTGTTGCTTCGTTGTTGTATACCACCACGGGCAAGTAGCACAACAGGAATCTGCCCTGCAACAAATCAGGTCATTGGTTCATCTAGCTCAGTCTTGTCTTCTAAGGATGGACAAATCTGTCAATTTTTTTTTATTATTCTCATTTTTCCAGTGTTAAGTTTCACTTGACTTATTTTGCTCGGATCCTACGATCAGCGGGTGAAACCTTGGTTGGTGCTTTGCAATGGCAGTTCCTTGGTAATGGAAGGAACCACCCTAGTTGAGTTGTGCCCCACTGCTCTCTCTCTGCCACCCCCTTCTCTCTCTTTCTGTCACCTCCTCCTCTTCTTCCTCACCCAGCAGTCTGCCAGGGGAGGGAAAGGTTCCTCTTTCAGAAGACTAAACGAATTGCTAGCACTAATCACTAAACTCACCCCCTTCTGCCCTCCTTCTCTCCCTCTTGACTCCATCAACCTTCCTGAAAGCAGCCCCAGGGCATAAACCAAGCAGAGGGATGAGTAAATGCTGGGAGGGGAATCTGTAACCATTTCTGCTAATATTGGCTGTTGGAAAATGTCTTGCCTTATTATGAGAGCAATGCATTAATCAGATCTAAGAGGTAGCCTAGCATTAGTTTTCAATGGAGGAGCTGGGAGCAAAGCACCCTTCCAGTTCTCCAGAAATGAGAAAAGGTAAACAAAAGGCACATTTAACGAAGTTATTATCCAAAGCTCTCATTTAATTTGGCTCAGCCGATTTGGCGGGCTCTGCTAGATAAAACAATTAATCCTGAGTTTTTGTTTAATCAACATTTACGTTTATACCTGTGCCAAACCTGGAGGCCTTGTAGGTTGTACAATTAATGCGTAATGATCCTCACCCTGCTGGGAAAGATATTCTTCAACTAATGAATTAACCCTTTGCGAATCTGTTTGGAGGCCGCTGAGCCCAAAGGAAATATTTAACTGAAAAATCAATGCTGGTTTTCTACTGTCACCAGATGCACAGAACTGAAAGGCACCTCTATCATGGTTCCATTCCCCTCCTCCACGTCATGCACCTTAAGGTACAATGTGGTTTATAACTCAACCATTGGATGGTTGAGCCATCCATCAATGGATGATTGAGCCATCCATCTCCTCTTTGCCCCAGGATGGTTCCCTGGCAACTTTGCATCAAGATGATTTCATCAGGTCTGGTCTGCTGGGGTAGGGAACCTTTTTCTGTCCAAGGGTAAGTAGTCTATCTGGGCAAATAGGACAGTGCCCTATCAATTTGAATCTTCCCTATGGAGAAGCCTGCAAGCAGGACCTGAGTGCAACAGCCCTCTGAAATTCTCAGCTGCTGGCCTTTAGAAGCGTATGCTGTCCCTGACAGTGAAGGTGGAACTTATCCATACATGTAGTAATGGTGATGATGCAGCCACGAATCCTGCCACCCACCCAGCAGTTTACACCAAAAGCATATGGCCCCTGATGGTTCAATGACTGGCCGCTAGCTGCTCTTTGCCTCTTTCACCCACACAATCTTTCCAAACCCTGTTGAGTTTAATTGCTTCATTGCACACCGAAATGGAGAATGTCTGTATGTATCTGTATGTATAAAGGGTTTAACGTTGGAAAATTCCATTGAAGCATACTGAAGCTCTCTGAGTTTATCATTAACTAGCGATGTTCTCTGCTAGCTCTCAGGTTGGTGTTTAACCTTAGATCATGTGATGCAGGTATCCCACTGCAAATCTCCATTCTGAAAGGAAGTTGCCTCTTGGTCTTTTGTTCCCAGGCACAGTCAGAGAAAGATGTGATAATGAAGCCTCTCCAGGATGTGCCTAGCCTTAGGATGGATGCAAGTTAATGCGGGCTATGGTAGAGACAAAGCTTTGATTTTTTGCTCCAATCGTAATTATGTTATATATTTAAGAAGAAGTATCTATGATTGGACAAGCATATGATTTATTCAATTTTCTGGACGTATCATTGATTGTTTTTAAACCTGTTTTTTTTTAATAAGTTCTGGCTAGTAAAGCTTTGAATAATACTTATGGGTCTGGACATTTTTTATTCCAGCTTTTATATATCCAATTGCTTCCTGCTGCACAATATTAACATCTGCAATAAGCCCTATATCTGAAATTGCCAACAGCCTCCCTTGAATTATGGCAATGTAAAAGAGAGAGAGGCACGGTTTGTACCCGTTCTGAGCCACATCACTGTTACTTCCCCATTCTCAATCAGGATGCTTCAGATAATACAACCGAATATTCCATTTGACTTTCAGACTATGTACCTTGTTGATGACTCATATTCATTTTCATCCATTTCCAAACTACAGAAATCCATCTCGTCACTCTTAGAAATCAGTCGGCTCTCTCCTCCATTGCACTTCTGCACTTGCTCTTTCTCCTTTCCTGTGTGGTCCCAAACACTTTGCTTTTGAAAAATGTCGTGTCATCCTTGCTTTAACGCAATATGACAAGTTAATCTTTTTTGTCTTCTTAGCTTATCCTTTAAAATTTTGCAATTCATTCTTATTCTGTATGATTCGTGGCATTTATAACACCCACACACAAGACAGAGAGAGAGAGAGAGAGAGGCGCACTTAGCTACACACCTACGCACAAAGAGCAACAAGGCATGGTCCATGCACACAGGAGAGGTTCCTAGAATTCTGTGATTTACCACTGCTACTACCCCCTCTCTGGTATCAGCTGGGCAAGGTAAGCTATGGGCCCCCCTAGTCAATCCCTAATGGCCACACTGAATAACAAACATTTATTTATGAAGCAGTGTACCAACCTACAAGTCTTTCCAAAAGTTAAGTGCCCTTAAAGTAAAGGTAAAGGGACCCCTGACCATTAGATCCAGTCGTGACCGACTCTGGGGTTGCGGCGCTCATCTCACTTTATTGGCTGAGGGAGCTGGAATTTGTCCACAGACAGCTTCTGGGTCATGTGGCCAGCATGACTAAGCCGCTTCTGGCGAACCAGAGCAACACACGGAAACGCCGTTTACCTTCCCGCTGGAGCGGTACCTATTTATCTACTTGCACTTTGTGCTTTCGAACTGCTAGGTTGGCGGGAGCAGGGACCAAACAACGGAGCTCACCCCATCATGGGGATTCGAACCGCCGACCTTCTGATCGGCAAGTCTGTGGTTTAACCCACAGCGCCACCCGCGTCCCTTAAAGTGCCCTTAGTCTTACCCTAAACCAAAATCACTGCAAAGCTGGCTGATAAATCTTTATTATAGCTAATCAATGCAAGCTTGAGTTATTTATTATGATTTCTGACAATGGGCAGTCGTAGCTCTTCTGGATATTATGAAGCTAAGATGAAATGTACAGGAATAGCCAGGAACATCTTTTAAGAGCGTTGTAAAGGAGCAAAGTAGCATGATGTAGTTATCCTTGCCGAGGTATTATGATTATTAGATATATTTATTTTACCTGCCCTTCAGCACCTGCCCATCATTGCCTCAGGGTAGCTTGCAACAATGTCAAAATACAGTATTAAAATCAGTTAATTCATCCCCAGGTACTGTACGTCCATATATATGTATAGATACACACACAACATATAAAGTCATGTGTCAAAGCTCAGGATAAAGTGATTCATATTCAGCATACAAAAAGCAAGGTATATAATGAAGAAGATGGGCACACTTTTGTGGGGAGGGCATTGTACAGTTTGATGCTGCCCCACACAATGCCCTCTCCTAGGCTGCCCCTCCCATAAGCTTCCAAGAGCAACAGAAGTACCAAAAGCGCCCCCTTACCTGATTGTGACACCTGTGGGGGCCTGTGTAGGAAAGGAAACTGTCTTTCAGATAATTTAGGTCTAAGTCATTTAGGGAATTTAAACGTTAACATGAACACCATGTGCATGTTGGGTATGTTTAGCATGGAGAAGACTCAGAGGTGGTATGACTGTCACATGGAAGATGGAGCTAGCTTGGTTTCTGCTGCTCCAGAGAGAGGGACCCAAACCAAAAAATTATAATGACAAGAAGGGAGATTGTGATTAACCACTAGGAATAACTTTCTGACATCAAGAATTGTTCAACAATGGAACAGACAATCTCGGAAGTTGGTGGACTCACCTTCATTGGAGTTTTTTAAGCAGAGGTTGAATGGCCACCTGTCATGGAAGCTTGAGTTGAGGTTCCTGCAT